GTACCTAGAGTACAAGGTGGTACCTAGAGTACAAAAAAGTGACTAGATTACAAGGTGTTACCTAGAGTACAGCATTGAACCTAGAGTACAAGGTGGTACCTAGAATACAAGGTGGTACCTAGAGTACAAGGTTGTACATAGAGTTGGAAAGCAGACAAACCTTGTCTTCATTGAAGTTAAAATAGAAACTCTTGAATAATGTAGGGAACCTAGAGTACAAGGTGGTACCTAGAGTACAATGTGATACCTAGAGTACAAGTTGATACCTAAAGTACAAGGTAGTACCTAAGTTCAAGGTGGTACATAGAGTACAAGGTGGTACCTAGAGTACAAGGTGATACCTAGAGTACAAGGTGGTACCTAGAGTACAAGGTGGTACCTACAGTACAAGATGGTACCTAGTGTACAAGGTGGTACCTAGAGTACAAGGTGGTACCTAGAGTGGAAGGTGGCACCTACAGTACAAGGTGGTACTTAGTGTACAAGGTGGTACCTAGGGTACAAGGTGGTACCTTGAGTACCTACAGTACAAAGTGATACCTTGAGTACCTAGAGTACAAGATGGTACCTAAGTACAAGGTGATATCTAGACTACAAGGTCGTACCTAGAGTACAAGTTGATACCTAAAGTACAAGGTGATACCTAGAGTACAAGTTGATACCTAACGTACAAGGTGGTACCTAAGTACAAGGTGATATCTAGACTACAAGGTCGTACCTAGAGTACAAGTTGATACCTAAAGTACAAGGTGATACCTAGAGTACAAGTTGATACCTAGAGTACAAGGTGATACCTAGAGTACAAGGTGGTACCTCAAGTACAAGGTGAAACCTAGAGTACAAGTTGATACCTAGAGAACAAGGTGATACCTAGAGTACAAGGTGGTACATAGAGTTGGAAAACAGACAAATTTTGTCTTTATTGCAGTTAAAAAAGAAACTCTTGACTAATGTAGGGAACCTTGAGTACAACGATGTACCTTGAGTACCTAGAGTACAAGGTGGTACCTAACGTACAAGGTGGTACCTAGAGCACAAGGTGGTACCTAGAGTACAAGGTGATACCTAGAGTACAAGGTGGTACCTAGAGTACAAGGTGGTACCTAGAGTACAAGGTGGTACCTAGAGTACAAGGTGGTACCTACAGTACAAGGTGATACCTAGAGTACAAGGTGGTACCTAGAGAACAAGGTGGTACCTACAGTACAAGGTGGTACCTAGAGTACAAATTGGTACCTAGAGTACAAGGTGGTACCTAGAGTACAAATTAGTACCTAGAGTACAAGATGGAACCTAAAGTTCAAGGTGGTACCTAGAGTACAAGGTGGTACCTAGAGTGCAAGGTGGTACCTAGAAGACAAGGTGGTATCTAGAGTACAAGGTGGTAGCTAGAGTACAAGGTGGTACCTAGAATACAAGGTGATACCTAGAGTGCAAGATTGTACAGAGAGTTGGAAAGCAGACAAACCTTGTCTTCATTTAAGCTAAAATAGAAACTCTTGAATAATGTAGGGAACCTAGAGTACAAGGTGGTACCTAGAGTACAATGTGGTACCTACAGTACAAGGTGGTACCTAAAGTACAAGGTGGTACCTAAGTTCAAGGTGGTACATAGAGTACAAGGTGGTACATTGAAGAAACCAATAGGTAAAAGACAAATGTTAAAAATCTTACATGGGTATGTTAACACAAAAGATTAAAATGCTACGTCATAGTCTATTATATAGATCAACATCATTCAGGTAATGCAGAATTTTACAAATATCAACAGTATCAAAAAGGGATTTTAGACATGTAATGTTACGATAAAACATTCTCGAGTAGAAAGAAGGTCAGTGCAGTCCAATAGAAAAATTGTTAATGGTGAATGGCTCATCACATCCTATGCACAAAGGATTATTTTTGCCTTTCAACATATATGAATGCGTAAGGTATGTATGACCCATCCGAAGACGGGCAAGGACAACTTCGTCTCGGTGGTTGTCTCTATAGCCTGGAGACCATTCACTGATAACAGGTTTAACGGAGTGCAATTTGTTTTTGGTATAGGTATTCCATTCCTCCTGCCACTGAGCTTTTAAAATTTGTTTTATAAATGGTTTGGAATCGGTAAAATAAAGTTTAAAAACAACAGGTGGTAGCGATAAAGCTTCCTTTGCGGCACGATCTGCTTTTTCATTGCCTGGTTTTTCCATGTGCCCAGGAACCCAGCAAAAGCAATACGAAAGTTCATGATATGATATTAAGGTATTACAAATGAAAATATTTTCGATATTTCTATTGCTAAGACTTTGTAGAACAGAAAGAGAATCTGAATGGATGACAGCTCTCATTACTTTGTTTCTTTGAAGATATTCAAGGGCGAGATAGATAGCTCGCGCTTCTGCCGAGAATATTGAGATGTTGTTCGGTAGTCGTCATCCATAGGTTTCATCTTGTGTAACCATGGCCGCAGCAACCTTATCATTATATTTTGAACCATCAGTATATAAGTGTAGAGATGTTTCATACTTTAACTGCAATTTCGAGAAGGATGAACGAAAGGTGTTACTGTCTGTGTTTGATTTAGCGATTTAATGAGTGAAAAGTCAACTTCAGGTGAATTCATGAGCAAGGATGGAATTTCTATCTTTCCAAATGACTGAATTCGGTTTACATCAATATTTGTGTTTTGTAAAAGAGCGGAAATTTGAATACCAAATGAAGGAAAGGCTTTTCGTTTGTTTTGAAACAAGGTTTTATATTTTGGATCAAATACAGGGAAAAAGCAGGATTTGAAAGATCTTACTATAGCTGAATGATGGAATCGTAGTCCAATTTTGATCTAATAAGGGCTTTATTGAGTCTAAGCAAAACTTTTCTATCAGCTCCCCAATCAGTGTGGGACACAATCTTTAGAATATTCAGTGCCTTAAGGCATTTAGCTTTAAGGTATTTTATATGTGGAAGGAACGACAATTTCCTGTCGAAAAATACACTTAAGAATTTCGTTTGCTCAACAACCGGTATGGGTACACCACAGAGAGACAGATTTGGATCGTCGTGTTGTTTCCGACTTTGACAAAAATGCATACAGACTGTTTTGATTGTGGAAATTTAGATTCATTTTCATCTGCCCAAATTTGTAATCTTTTCAAACATTGTTCAAGTTATCTGCCGATGGTATTCATATGCTTATATCGATAGCATATGATGAAGTCGTCAACATAAAGAACGCCCTTCATCGAAGGGGATAATGTTTTGTCAATACTGTTAATTTTAAGTCCAAAAAGTGTAACCGAAAGAATGCTGCCTTGTGGTACACACATTTCCTGCCGATGAGCATCGGAAAGGGTCGTTCCATTCTGGACTTGATATACTCTATCTGATAGAAAATTTGAAATAAAAATTGATAGATTACCTTCAATACCTGTGTCGTGCAGATCTTTCATTATGCCGTATTTCCATGTTATGTTGTAAGCCTTTTCCAAATCGTCGAAAACAGTTTCTTCTTTAGAAAAGCCTCATGCACAAAGGTTTCAAGTCTAGCCAAATGATCGTTGGTACCTCGTTTAGATCTAAAACCGTTTTGTAGGGGTGATATTATGCGGTTTGATTCCAGATACCAAATTAATCTTGAATGTATCATCCGCTCTAGAGTTTTACAAACACAACTTGTGAGTGATATTGGGCGGTAAAAGGAGGGATCTCTTGTATCTTTACTCTGTTTGGGGATAGGAATCACAGTTGCCATTTTCCATGACTTTGGAACATTTCCCGATCTAAAAATGCAATTAAAAATATCAAGAAGTTTTTCTAATGTTGATTCTGGTAGATGTTTTAGGAACTGATAGTGAATACCATCAGGTCCTGTTGCAGAGTCATGCGATTTTTTCAACGATTTTCGTAGTTCTAACATTGAGAAAGGTTGATTGTAAGTTTCATTGTTTTCGGAAGAGAATTTCAATTTAGTTTTTTCACGCGTGGTCCTGAATTTTATTTTTATTTTTTTGGAATGATTATTTGCAGATGATTTTTTGGAAAAAACACATCCTTAAGCATTTGCAATATCAAATTTCGATGTGGCTAATTTTCCATTAGTTTTCTGATGTCCCATTGTTTTGAATGATGTTTTACCTATGATTCATTTAATCATATCCCATACTTTTTTGGTGGATGTATTGGAATTTAATTTGGACACATAACATCTCCAAGGCAATTTTTTGTGTAAGCGTATAGCACGACGGGCTTTTGCCCGAATAATTTTGTAGTTTTTTTAAGCTATCGCTTATGGGGTTTGAATTGCCTCAAAGCGGTTTTCCTATTTCGAATAGCTTTATCACAATCTTCATTAATCCAAGGTTTTTTTATTGCATTTTCTTTTGGACTTTGTTATACATTCTTTGGCTATCACAAGATGTTCGGTAGTAAAAGATTCTATTGGGTCTTCTAAATTCAGGAAATCAATGGAGTTGAGAATCTTGGTACTGAGATGTTCCCATTTACTGCAATTTGCTTTATATAATTTCCAATGGGGTACATGATCGCTCTCCGTGGATTTACAATTCCTTAAAAATATTGGAACGTGGTCGCTTCCACAGAGATTTTCATGCACCCTCCATTCGAAATCGAGTAACAGAGATGGGTGACATAAAGTTAAATCAAGGTGCGAGAGTGTTCCAGAAGAGGGATGCCAATAAGTTGGAGTTTTGTTATTGTAAAGACAAAGGCTATTTTCCAATATAAATTTTTCTATTTTTGTTCCTCTATCAGTGAACTACAAAGGTTGTTATGATCATTAAATTCATCCAAAAGTATTGAAAGGGGAAGGCAGTTGCGATAGGAGTTCGTCTAGTTTGTTGTTCGTGAAATCAGAATTTGGAGGGAGATAGATGGAGCATACTGTGAGCGTTCTATGGAGGCCGAAGTTCAGAAAGATTGTCGCACGCCATGTCAGTCTGTGTACCTGCATCACATGTCTGTGTAACAGCATCACAGGTCTCAACGGTCGTAATACCAACCTTTGCACGACTGAAATAGGATGGACCCGACACAGGTACTTCAACAATCCTTCTTGCTTCGGGAAAAGTGATGTTGTTTGCGTATTTGTCTCGAAGGATATCTTTTTCCTTGCGCTAAGCAGGGCAATCTCTTTAATATGCCGGATGCCTTCCATCACAGTTGGTACAGTGAGTTCGACCATCACAAGCACCATCTTATGACCCACCATCGTGGTCTACAACTCCACACTTTGCACAAACTTTCTGTTTCTTGCAGTTTTCAGAATTGACCAAATTTCTGGCAATCAAAGCATCGCAGTGGAGTTGGAAGGTAAACATCCACACCAACACTTTCGAAGCCAACCTTTACTCGTTTTGGTAAAATCGGGGTGTTAAAAGTAAGCACGAAAGTGTTGGTGTCACGGATGCTGCCATCTCGCTTCACCCTGATCCGTTTAACATGGCTGACTTTCTGTTGTTTTTCTTTGAAATAACATAGGATGACCTCTTCGCTCTCTCCCTGAAGAGATGGACAGCGTATAACGCCCTTTGATGCGTTCAGGGAGGAGTGAGGGACAACCTGTACAGCTATTTTGAAAACCTTTGTCATTCCTAAGAGGTTCTTGGCCAGTTGCTGGCGGATAACGTCTACAAGAAGTTCGCCAGACCGCAGTTTTTTAAACACTCCTTGGTGTACCGCATGTCGATAGGATTGTTTTTTCAATAACAAATGGTGAAACGGATGATATTGGTTTATCCTTTTCCAACGATCGTATAACGATGAACTGGTTGAAATCATGGTCATCTTCTGAGTCTGGTGATGAAGGACAAGGTCGTTTATTTTGGTTTTTTGTGTCCATAGTTAGGTGTTTAAGTTTTCATTACCCGTGCTCCTCACCCTACATGGAGCTCAACAAGGGTACACTACCAACGGTACTGATATCCGATACACGAGTGCCAAGGATACACAGGAAGTATATCCGAAAGAATAGAACTTTTTCGATTGGTCCTTAAGCCACCGCCTTCTGGGATACAACTGTAAAATAAAAGCTACAAAAACAGATGGGTATACGGTTGAGTGAAATGAAAAGGAAAAACCTTGACACTTAGGACGTAAAGTTGGCCCAGGGCTTGGCATGACCAGGCGATTGATCACAATGACCACCCGTCTTACTGAGATAGAGGCCAGAATGATGTATTGGGGGAAGGCCATGCGAGATTGCTTGAGAGTAAAACGCAAACCACATAACCGCCCCTCAACCACCAGGATCCTTTCTCCCAGTACTAACGGGACGTAACCCACGGCAGACAGGTTGCCCCTTTAGTGGACTTTTACCACATGCAGTAGGACACAGCGGATATATTCGAACTCCTATCCACAGGGGAGCTGAACTCAATGAAACAACTACAGAAAATTTATCGTCTAAACCTCCGAACACCATGAAACGACTACAAGAAATTTAACGCTATGTCATTGGTTTAGTATTTAACGACATCATCATGCTACCGTGAACAACTAAGGTAAAGTGTCTTACCCAAGGATAGAACCATGACACACAGACCAGTTCATTTCACAACTTTGTAAAAAAAAACTACAAACCTCCGCGTGTTGGGATTGTCGAAGAATGTACATGTACCTTGATCTTCACTAGAGAGCTATCTTATTCCACCGACATCCTCCGTTTAGCGATCAGGTGGTATATTTATCCCCTCTTGTTGTTATAGGGTGTACAGTTACCTAACGATATGGCTGATTCAGTATTTTAATATTAATCTTGATATAATGACTTTACATCATAGCGTCAATTTCATATATCTTTTAAAAAGAATTTGTCCATACAATTCATAAACGGCCAACGCTTATCAATTTAAAACAAGAGCCAGCTATTTGTTTTGCAACGGGTAGAAATTCTTCTCAACGTTCCTCTCAACAAGGCACGAGTGTGACCTCTCTAAAAATAAATTCCGTGAAGGTTGTGACCACTTAAACAAATATTCGTCCTATCTTAGATGTGACCCCAGTAACATTTATATCTCAACCTTCGTAGATGTGTCACTATTCTCACTTTCATAACAAATGCATCCCTTGCATTGTAGGATGTGACCTTTGTTACAGATATGCATGTTGGTTTGAAATTGTACACTGTGACCCATATAAAATGTATCCCTTCGATCAGATAATACGACCGCTGTAACAAATATATTCCACCTGTAGTATAGTGACATGTAAAGAAAGTTTCCTCCCGTTGTAGAGTGTGAACTGTATAACAAATACAGCCCTCCCGATTATAGTCATCATCATCATCATCATCATCACCATCATCATCATCACCAAACTTTATTTCCTCCCAAAGGAGATATTGGTAATACAAGAAATCGACAGGGAAAAGAAAAAAAAATATAAGCAGAAACAGTTCAATTAACGCGTGTAAATCATCAATATCGCGTGGAAACGTCAAAAAATAGAAATCATTAAGTTAAGGAGCGCGTAGGACTTACAACGAATCTTACGCTTTTCATCAGAAAAAGTTTCTGGGCAGCAGCATCTAGCAGCTGGAGGCCTGATGTCAGGCCTAAAAGCGTATTTACAAAAGTGGCATGATCCTCACTTACAAGCGATCGGTACATAATTGGCCTAAAGTCTGAGAGGACTCCCTGTAGAAAACTTCTACGGAGCTCATTGGTATTACCACAGGAACAACAGAGGTGAGAAAATACGTCATTGACGGGCTCGGAACAAAGAGCGCACACAGCACGGGCTGGAATAGCTGGTGTGGACAAGGCAGAGCTTAAGGAGTAATGTCTGTTAAAGATTCTGCTGCAAGCCACATTATATACGGTTTGTAAGAGGAATGACACTTGCTAAACATTCGAGCTTTTAGAGCCGAATTTTCAGCACAATTTATGGCAGATTTAACAGCTGATTTCCACTGTATCTTGGAGGGGAATACGTAGTTTCGAAGATACGAATCCAGGAAAGGTTCCAAGTTACATCTTTGTAGCACATTTACGATATCTGGGAAGTACCCTTTGGAGCAGTGGTTATCACAGGTGCCAGAATGCGCTTTCAAAAAGGAATATAAGCGAACGGTAAAAATACGCTTTTCTAGGAAGGATTGATCCATTGATATAAGTTTTTGCAGATGAAGTAATTTTCTATTGTTGATTTCCGTAGAAATGCGAAATAACCCTAACATAGGTTCGACAATATCTGAACGAGCGCGCCGAGGGACTCTGAGCATGAGCTTTGCTCTGTAATGCTGGAAACTACTTAATAAAGTAAGTTCTTTTGAGCCAAGATGACCCCAATGTTCACACCCATATAACACAGAAGGTAAAACCACTTTCTTGTAGAGGCTGAACTTGACAAGAGCACTAATTAAACTAGACGATGGGTCGATCCCAATAATAGAATGCGGTGTTTTTCTGCCTCTAACACATGCAGCTTGCTTGTAAAAATTAATGCCTTTAATTGTAGAATGTGACCCTGGTAACAAATATCATCCTTTCGTTGATCTTTGTTACAGGTATGGGAACATGTCTTATGTTGTACAATAAGGCCATTATAACAATATAATCCTTCCCTTGTACATTATAAATTATCTAGAAATAGTATCCCTACTCTTAAAGAGTGCTACCTTTATTACGAAGACATCTATTCCGTTGAGCTGTTTTTTTGTTGAATGTGACCTTAATTACAAGCATATCACTACCTTGGCTGTATATGAAAATGAATTTTAGGCCAAAATCGGCACAATTTAGGAGAAAATGTGAGTATAACACCGATTGCCATCATTCTTCTATACATTGCTATAGACCACGGAACACAGCAAGATCTGCTAGAATACAGTTTACTAGTTAGCTGTCAGTATCAATGAAACTAATAATCAATGTGCGTCATTGAAGTATCAATCCGTTAAACGTGTATCAGTAAATCGGTCATATTTTCAATAAATGCATTTGTTGATATCCCGTATCGATATTCTGAACATTAAGGTGTATCACTACAAATCATTTTTATCAAAATGTCGAATTCTGGATGTAAAGAAATGTGACTTGTATAAAAGCATGTTTATAAAGATTCGTTACTGATAATACATCTATGATATCATTATATTGTTAGAAAGATTTAGATATCTGTAATTTCTCATTTTGAAAATATATTAAAACGACTTCTACATTAAATGACGGTACCTATCTGAACGTCACAATAACACAACTAAAATAACATTTTCTGTTGGAAACAATGGTAACCAATAACTATATTCTATAACCTATATGATCAGGACCATCAAAAAACATATAACATCAAAGTTCAGCTACTTTTTTTCCAGGAGTGTTAATGTTCTTCTTTTCAGGGTACCATGACGAAAAGAAAATCTTCGCTTTGGCTTTATTACGATTTCAAGTGGAAGTTTTTTTTGGAAATATTCCTTGCAAGGAACTCTGTGACAGCATCCTGCACCATGCTTCGAGGATTTACGGTAAAACAATGATTGTAAATAACATACAAACATCGAAATTATTTTGTGCATTGTTGTAGTACTATACACGTAACTCGTCACGGTTGCTGACCACTCTATACCATATATGCTATTTATAAATTACCTGTATGTGTGTGCAGATATAACATATACCTGTACGGGTACCTGAGGGGTATTCGCTTCTATCTATCGCGTGCGTGTCCCATGTAAACAAAAGGATATATGTACATATTTGTAGTAGGAGTTGATACATTTAATATTGACATTGTTTCATCAAATCTTGAATGATGAATTCATCAATAAATGCGGATTCCCTGATATATACTGAATTGACAAATGTGGAACCACTTTCTTGTACTTTGTATAATTGAGAGTTTGAGGAATCGTTTTCGTACACCCCACAAAGTGACGTTGCTGAAACCCAACATGAAAACACACCTCAAAACCCTTCTAAAGAGATTCCAGCTTATCTGGAAACGCTCAAGGCCGCCATTGATATGCCGAGAGACCTTCTTATTGACCAAATTCGTTCACTCACCCACGAGAGTGTCCCTGACCTTGAACAACTCCGGTATAAGCTATATGAACTTGCTAGAGCTAGAGATGACTTTCCAATTAACGAAGGTTATCTTCGGAAACGACTAGCCTCTAGGAAATCCGGCTCTCCCGCAATTCATCACAAACTTGCCAAAGACTGTTCTTCTTCGGGCCATCATAGGCGAATACACGGAAGATCTATATGAGAT